GGTCCTGCTGTAAAGAGGTCCAGGGGGTCCTGCCTGTAAGGAGGTCCTGCCTGTAAGGAGGTCCATCCCAGATGCTCATCAGAACTAGACTCTCCCCACACACAGAGGCTGAACCCCGGGTTTACTCCGGGCTAACGCCCCGCTAACAGCAGCTAACCTGCCCGCTGTCCGAGCTCCCGCACCGGGCGAGGCTCCCGCACAGCCCAGCCGACCCCGCCCCAGAGCCCGCCACCGTCAGGGCGGCCCGCCGCTCACCAGCTGTCCCATCTTCAGAACCCCCGGGATGGTCCGGGTGTAGCCCAGGTTCAGGACTCCGTCCCCGCAGGACCTGCTGCCGGCCGTCGTGGTCGTGATGACGGTGTGCGACATGTTGAGACGCTCCAGCCGCAGCAGACCAGCTGTTTCTCTTCAGCGCCGTCAAGCTGCACCGGATGCACAAGGCAACTTCCGGTAAGACTTTCACAATAAAGCACATCAAACGTCTTGTACGTAAACACGTGAACAAAGAAAAACAAATAAACATTTTAAAGCCGTGCACGAGCATGTGCACGATACTGTGAAAAAGTCTTGGCCAGTTCTCATTTTTAAAAGTGTCTTATTCAATTTTATGAGAGATGTTTTAATTAGAGTGATTAATATAATTTTGATTATAATATAATTTATATTATAGTGATTTTTTTTAAATAATTTTGTATTTTGCTTCGTGTGTTACCTGTTGTTCTGTCTGTACAGCACTTTGGTTGGCCTTGTTGCTGTTTTAAGTGCTTTATAAATAAAGTGGAATGGTAATAAACTTCAAAACTTACTAACGTAATGATCATGAGCTCAGCTAATGAAGGATAGATTAATAACTTATAATAATTATCTATAATAATAATAATAATAGTATAATTAACTAATTATTACTGAGACACTTCTGTTCCCAGAGGAGCAGCTGAAACAGAACCTGTTCTTTCTCTTTACAATTTATTCAACAATTTCCTGAGGGATCAATAAAGTTCTATCTTAACTTATTTTTACCTTAAGTTTTTATTCGTCACTCATTTCTGCACCTAGAAAATAAAAAGGATAAATATTTTTCTGCATGTTTCATGTTCTGCAGGATTAACTGTTGTCTCTGCTGCACCAGACAAACACACATTTAACTTTTATCAGTGATTTCCACCTTCTTGTTTCTGAACCGTCCAACTGAGAAAAAACTGTTCAACTTTAAAGCTTTCTGTTCATATGGTTATCATTAAAGCTGTTTTTAAGTTTTATTTTATTTAAATATAAACAGAAGAGGAGCTTTAAACTCAGGAGAATATTATCTAGTCTTTTATTTGAGGCTCGGATGAAAGAAGTCAGGACTTTTATTTTGAAGTGTGTGTGTGTGTGTGTGTGTGTGTGTGTGTGTGTGTGTGTGTGTG